AAATATTACTAAAAATAGCAAAAAATAACTTAAATTGATGATTCGGACGAAAAACAGCTGAATTTGGCCTCGAATCCGATGCACACCGAGCATAGCTTGATGCCCACGATGTGCGCACCGGAAAGAGCTTTCCAAATTGGGATCATGGGCTTGATTCTGACAACCGTAGCCAAAGTTATGGCTAAAATACCGAAACGTGTCCAAAAGTGCCCCCAATTAGGAAAGATCGATGATTACTTTCCATTCTTGCGCTGATCTGCCAACTCATGGTATCTCAGCGCTATTAACGAACTATCAGACAACTCGTCCTCGTCTGGCTCGGATCCCCCTGCATCACTTTGGTAGCATTCGGTGGACAGGTACTTTCCTTCCATCTATCTCCCCAGGCCCAAAAAGCAAAAGAATATATTTCTTTGCAGAATTTCATACATGATTGGACATCCGTCTGTTCCATGTCTATTAACAGAAATATTTTGTTTATCTACTCTTTTCAACTTATTATGTGTTTGCTTTCAGTTTCTTCCGCTGAATTATTATCATCATATGGATCCGCTGACATGATTACTATTTTTCTTTTGTTTGTTTGGGGTGGTGCAAACCTCAATCTACGAGAAAAATTAGTAAATATCTCACTTTATTTAGTGGATGTATAACAACTCCATTTGAGAGTTTTTCCTTGTACAATACAAATTGTGATAGGAGTAGAAATATTGTGTGGCATTTGGCGGTGTGAGTTTCTTTATTTGGCAAACAAAGTAGGAAATATGTCAGAGGCATTGGTTTAAAGATAGCACCAATCTTGTTCAGGTTGGTTCATCCTATATTGAAAAAAAAAATAAAGTTTTTTGCTATTTGTCTTCAAAATCACTTGAGTTTGATTTATTTCTTGTCATATAGTAACTGTGATTAATGTTATCATACGGTGGATAAGTTAACATCTTACTGATGTTATCCATGGTTTATATAAGGTTAGAATAATTTCTGTTTTATCTTATCAAGAAATAGCTTACATTATATAGAAGCCTATTGAAACTAATCTACTATATTTCAGCAATGATTTGCTGTGATTTACAGGAGTTTAAAAGTGTTATCATTATCACATGAGAAGTCCTAGAATCAATGGAGTCTGTTGGCTTCTGTTGTATCTAATCCCCGAGATCTTTGATATATGGTTAAGATCCTCTTCAACACGCCCCCACAATCTCATGGGAATTTGTTGGACATGAAGATTGGACTTGAGAAGATGAAATCGTGAGCTAGTCAATGGTTTTGTTAGAACATTAGCAATCTGATCTTTGGAAGAAATAAAACAAACTTGCAGTTTCTTCTGCAATACAAGATCACGAACATGGAACATCAATTTCAATATGTGTTGTCCTTGCATGTAATACTGGATTCGCAGAGAGGTATGTCGCCCCAATGTTGTCACACTAGAGCTGAGGAATAGTAGACAATGGGTGCTGGATTTCTATGAGTAAAGACTGAATCCATTGAACCTCTGTTGCAGCGGTAGAGACAACCTTATATTCAGCTTCGGTGCTACTCTTTGCTACTATCTGTTGTTGTTTGCAAGACCAACTGATGAGGTTATACCCGTGGAAAATGCAATAGGCCCCTATAAAACGTCGATCATCTTGGTCAGATGCCCAATCTGCATCAGAAAATGCATGCAAGGCATGAGCTGATCGTTTGGACAGAAATAAGCCATTCGAGATAGTGTTTTTTAGATAGCATAATATACGCTTTACAGCAGCCCAGTGAGTATCCCTTGGGGAATGCATGTATTTGCTAACTTTATGAACAACATAATCTATGTCTAGACGTGTAAAGCTCAAATATTGTAGACCCCCAACTATGCTTCTGTAGAGAAAAGTATTGTCAAGCTCAATACCATCATATTTGGAGAGACGACTGGTGGAAGCCATTGGTGTAGTGCATGGCTTAGCTTTGCCAAGATTAGTACATTGGAGCAAGTGAAGAATATCTTTTCTCTGTGTGAGAAATAAACCGTCTGATGTTTGTATTGAATTAAACATCTATATTCACCACCCCAATCAGTTTGTATTGATTTAATGGTGGTATCAAATTGGTGTTCCACCATTTTTTGAAAGGGGATAAATATAGACTCAAGATTTGATTTTAATTTTAAAGGAAATAGCCAAATGAACTTTGTATAATCATCAAGAAAACAAACATAATAACGAGATCCATAAGTAGAAACTTCAGTACATGGCCCCCAGACATCAGAGTAAAGCAATTCTAGGGGCCGTGTAGCTGTAATGTGAGATTGATAAAAAGGCAATTTATGGCTTTTTGCCAATTGATAGTCAGGTCATACATTCTGTCTCTTATTTGTAGCAACTTGGATTTTATTTGAGCAAAGGACATGTTTAACAATAGGATAAGAAATATGTCCCAAGCGTTGATGCCAATATACTATTGAAATATGAGCACCAAAATAGGCTGATGCAGGACATGGATGAGAAGGCTGTGAAAAATAGTAGAGGCCATCTCGAGCATGACCTCTATGCTGGACGTTCCCCAAGTAGTCCTTTATGACGAAATAGTGTCCATGAAATTCAAAAAACACATTGTTATCATTAGCAAATTTTTGAACTAAGAGAAGATTTTTAGTAATTGAAGGAACAACTAGAATTTGGTTAAGAAGAAATGAATTGGAAGGAGTATTTAAAGAGGCAGAACCAATATGAGAAATAGCCAAACCTGTCCCATTTCCCACTTGAATCTGGTCAACACCATTGTATTCTTCGGATTGTAATGTGAGGTTATTGACATCAGCAGTCATATGGTGGGTGGCGCCCGAGTCGAGATGCCAGTCTTAATTGGCGTTGGAGGTTGAAGCATAATTAGCTTGGATTGGCCTAGAAGTTGATGGAGCAATATAGGTTATATCAAACCTATAGTAGCATTTGTGAACTGTATAGCCAGGTTTTTCACATAGCTGGCACCAGAGGGTAGAATTGTTACAACCTGAGAAAGAGCTTCGGCTGTAGTTGGAGTTGGTGAATCCACGACCCCGCCCATTAGAATGTCCCAGTCCTCGATTATTATTTTGATAGAAATTGCCACGACCATTATTATTGTAGGTTTGCTAACGAGTAGCAATGTTGACTGAGGCATTTGGAAGAACAAAAGCTTGGTTGTTGTGGTTGATTCTAGCCTCAGCGGTAAGGAGCAATGAATATAACTCTTCAAGAGTAGTGTCTTCACGAGATGAGATCAACGTAACCAGAGAATCATACTCGGTGCCAAGCCAGCAAGTGTATAGGTTATTATATCGTCACAGTTCATGGCTTGTCCAGCAATAGCAAGCTCATCCGTTAATGTTTTGATGGACATAAAGTATTCTGTGGCAGTAGAGTTACCCTTACGAGTGGAGGCTAGTTGTGATCGAACCTGTACGGCTTTTGCACTAGATTGAGAGGCAAAACAAGTTTCAAGAGCAGTCCAAACCAAACGGGAAGAAGAAGCTTGGTAGACCTGAGCAAGGACTTCATCTGTAAGGGATGAATTGATAGCACTGAGAATAAGGTTGTCCTGTTTGGACCAAGCATGATGAAGTGCATAAGGAGTTAGAATTTATGATGAAGTGGGATCACAAGGCAAAATAATGATTTCATGATAACTTTGGGTTTGTCCGTTTTTGACGAATTAATAGTCTAATTTGAGTGGAAACGGGTCAAGGATCACAACTCATGGCCTTTGACC